TACAAGATGATGAGGTGAGGATGGCATGATGGTGGATAGATGGTGGATGATGGATGGATGGGTGGATTAGATGAGAGGGATGGATGGATGGGTGGTGTGATGGGCTGAATGGTGGGCCCCAAAGGTGATCCACATCCTAGTTTTCAGAGCCTGCAAATGTTACCTGATTTGACAAAAGGGACTCCCTGTGATATAGGTGATGGCAGCTCAACTCTGCCTTTATACTATAAAATTGGTCATAGACAAAACATAGGGGATGGGTGTGTCTGTGTTCCAATAAAACCATATTTTACAAAAACAGAGCAGGCCACGGTTTGCCAACTCCTGCACTGGATTGTCAACCCCTTAACCTGAATGATCAGGCCCTTAATTCTCTTTCTGACCATATCTCCGTCCACTTCCTCCTTGACTCCGTCCACTCCAGCCACAGTGGCTTTTCCTCACCGGCTCTCGGCAGGGCAGCCGCCAGGCTGTGCTCTCCAAGGTGTGAATTCCTCTGTAGGGCCTGTTCTTGATATTCCCATAGCTGCTCCCTCCCTCCGTTCAGATTAAAATATCACCCTGTGCAAATATCACCACCTCCAAGAAGCCATCCTGGACTGCCCAATCTAAAAATACCCCACCCATGTTCTGTGAACCTGACTTGCTGTTCCTCACAGCACTCAACACCACCTGAAGTCTTACACCGTACTCACCACGTGACACTCCCACAGAACACTCATCTTCTAGACTGTGGACGTGACTGCTGAGTCCTCTGCTGGCTCCACCACCCTGGGCTCGGTCTACCACACAGTGTGCTCTCAGCAGCTGTTGGTCGCAGAAAGGATGGATGAACGAATGAATGGATAAGGGTAGGAGAAGGAAGGGTTCAGGAGGGCAGAGACCTGGTTCTTTTTTGCACATCATTTTATGATCTGTGCCTGGGGCCGCGTCTGGCACATAGGAGAGGCCCGAAAGGCTGGTGCTCAGAAGATACTTGGGATCTCCACCCACGTCCACGGTGGGCCTTGAAGCCAGTGTTCGCTTTCTGCAGAGACGCTGCCGATGACCCGTTTTGACGTGTGCAAAATGCACACGTGAACCACAGACGCAGAGCCTTTTGACATCCGTCCCTCTGCCCTGTTCCCCCACAGGGCTCTCACCTTTTTCAGGAATGGCGCAGGAGCTCAGGCCGTTGCCATGGAAACCCTGGCTGGAATGAAGAGGCAAGTGCTTGAAGGGGGATGCAGACAGAGCCACAGAGAATGGAATTTTCCAGACCCTGCAGTAATACTTACGTTCAAAACAGAATGTCTGGATATGAACCCTCTGACCTCACCTACATCTCTCCTGACCCCAGGATTCTCAGTGTCCCTCACCCCCTCCAGGTGTCCTTGTATTCCTTGGCAGTCTGGAGTCCTGGGTCCTTCCTCTTAGACTCCCTTGCATGTTTTTCTCTCTGTCTCCTCTTTCTCTCCTCTCTCTCTTCTATTCCTTAGGCAAAATACCAACCCTGATCACTCCAATTCCCACTCCTCCGGACCCCGAATTTTAACCATAATCAACAACTTGATTGGGATGGACTTCAGCTCTGTCACTTATCATAGGGGCATTTGTGGCAACTTTTAGGGAATGTTTGCTGCATGCCTGTGCAGTGTCTGTCACTATGTCTCCCAAAGTTGAACCCACTCAATAATCTTAGAAATTATATATTGTGTTTAGTTTAATAAACAATGCTATAGCACTTACTCAATGCCATTCAGTCCTCTAAATCTCTAATTTTTAAGGCTCATGTGAACTATGTTCTAACCTTACCCCAATTTTCATGTAAGGAAAGGGAAGCACAGGAGAGTCAGTGTGTAGACTCGCACAGCTACCATGTTTCCCCAAAAATAAGACCTACCCATGAAATAAGCCCTAGCAGGATGTCTGAGCATGTGCACAATAGAAGCCCCACCCCAAAAATGAGCCCTAGTGACGGGCGTGGCCACGCGGCGCGTCTGCACAGCCCATGCGTGTCCGTCGCGGAGCGGGAAAGACGCCGAGCAGCCCTTCTCATCCGCCCCGTGACAGCTCTGTGGCTCCACGGGAGAGATCGGGGCTGGTGGGTCTAAAGGAAACAGAGTTGCAAGACATTCAGGATGGAATTCGGGGTTTGGAGAGTGATGATGAAGTTCCAGAAGAAGACTTAACTCTATTTGAATAAATGTAGATTGTTGTACCGTACTTACAAAAAAAAAACCAAAAAAAAACAAACAAACAAAAAAACACATCCCCCGTAAATAAGCCCTAGGGTGTCTTCTTGAGGAGAAATAAATATAAGACCCTGTCTTATTTTCGCGGAAACATGGTAGTGAGTGTCAGAACTGGAATTCAAACCCAGGCAGCAGGACTCCTTAGTCTGCACTTTTAAGCCTAGGGCTGTGCCTTTGCTTGGCAGGTCTCGGAGGGCTGCCTATGCTCTGATGCCCATTTTAGACATGAGGCAACTGAGGCACCAACCAATGTCCTTACAAATGATTTAGTCATTCTCCGCCTCCATTGTACTCAACTATTTTAGTAACAACATTTTCAACACAGTCATCACAGCTTTGGCCATTATGCATTAATATAAATTGCAAGTGCCCATCAATACATGAGTGGATTAACAAAATGTGGTATACGTACACCATGGAGTACTATTCAGCTACAAGAAACAACGGCGATCTAGCACCTCTTGTGTTTTCCTGGATAGAGCTGGAACCCGTTCTACTAAGTGAAGAATCTCGAGAATGGAAAAACCAGCACCACATGTACTCACCAGCAAATTGGTTTCACTGATCAACACCTAAGTGCACATATAGGAATAACATTTATGGGGCGTCGGGCAGGCGGGAGGGGGAGGAGGGGACAGGTGTGTACAAACACAATGAGTGCGATGCGCACTGTCTGGGGGATGGTCACGCTTGAAGCTCTGACTCCGGATGTGTGGGGGTAGGCAACACACATAACCTGAACATTTGTATCCCCATAATATGCTGAAATAAAAAAAGAAATTTTAAATTTTAAAGATAGAAATAAAGCACTCTAACCTTTTCTCACCATGCCCCATGTCAGACACCGCCTGCCAGGCAGAGACGCTGGCGGCTCAGAACACGGTGATGACGAAGGAGACGGAGAAAGCTCAGACGGTTTGAAAGATATACAGGAGAGAGGTGGCCGGGCAAAGACGTACCTTGGGGATTCTTCACCCGTGGCCGAGGGAACGGGCTTGCTGGTGATTAGATCAGTTCTGGCCTGCAGTGTTAGTACCGAAGGTCGGTGCTGTGGAGCAGCTGGTGGGTGAGTGTGTGTTTCTGAAGTCATGAGGGAGGTCTGGGCTGGGGATGGAGACCTGGGGAACCATCAGTGCAGAGGGCCGCTGAAGAACAGGTCACAGGGTTGTGCACTGCACAACTCCAGGGGGTGCCATCCATGTGAATGATACTATGAGAGGGAATCCCACCAAGGTCACCCATGGAGAGTGTGCAGAGAGCGGAGCATTCAGGCCTTTAGTAGCTAATCAGATAGACAGGAATTGATGAAAATATTGCTCAACTCCACAATTGTTTTCATGTTAAGAGGAGGCCATTATTTTAATTATTTTTATTCATCTACCAATACTTTACTTCTGAATGTGGGTGTGTGTGTGTGTGCACGCATGCATTCCAAAGTCACGACACTCACAGGTAGCTGATATAGACAGAAAAGAAAAAGGACTTCTAGAATTCATAATTCACATCTGCAGGGGAAAAATATTTACTTTACTTGTATTAATAGCATTCATCCAACCAACTATTCATTCATGTAAACATCCCTCCATATACTACACATCAGTCCACCCACCCACCCATTCACCCATCCATTAATCTCCACACCAATCCATTTAATCATCAATCCATTGCTCCACTCATTCCCCATCACTCTATCCGTGCATTGATCCAACAAAGAGGAGAAATATATCTCAAAGAAAAATTTGTCATCTCCTTAATGATAAATGTATTTATGTGTTTACTCATGAAATGTAAGCTACAAGTCACTGCATGGCCTCTTCCCCGCTCCCTCCCTGAATTCACCTCCATGCACTTTTGTCCTTCCTCCCTGCCCATCAGACACCCGGCCTCCTGTGTGCTCCAAGCATGGCAGTCATGCTCCACCTTCACATGTTTCCAGCGCTGCTCCCTCTGCCCAGAGTCCTTCTCTCCCGAACGATCCGAGTCTCCCTCTCCCTTCACTCAGGTCTGCTCAAATGTCACCACCTCCAGGAAGATCTCCTTGCTCTGCCGGCCTAAGGCGCCCTCACCTTCACTCTCCATCTCACCTGCTTACCCTTTATAGAACTTATCACATCTGTATCTTTAAGTTAAATGTTTTCACTCATAAAGGTCCAAAGGTGAAAGGTCCATAAGGGGAGAGTTTGTCTTGGTTTCTACTTTATCCATCACTTTTGACTCCTGCTGACTCCTAGGGGACCTCAATAAATACTCAGTAATAAACCATACTCAACGTGCTTTGTGAATGAAAGGACGAGTGAATGGATAATTCATCAGAGCACAGAAACTGGGCATTTGTTTATTCGTTCATTCTATGGGCTCATTTTCCAGCTCGATACAGAGCACGTGAAACAGAGAGTGGCTCAGCGAGCCCGCGCCGGCGAGCGCACCTGTCCTGTCTGCGCTCGCGCCACACGCCGCCGCTCAGTAAATGGAGGGCGAGGACACGAGCTGCTGCGTCGGGCGCTTGGAACGGATTCCTCATGTTATTCTGAGTCGGGGGAGGCTCTGGCAGCGCGTCTGGGCTTTTTCTCCTGGTGCAAAGATCGGGACCAATGACGCATTTCACCACGCACAAAACACGCAGACGCGCGCGGAGGCGGAGACTGCGCCAGGCAGGCCTGGTCCCCGCAGTGGCGGAGCCTGACGTCCGCGCCTCCGCTCGGGTCCCCGGTCCCCGCGCAGGGGCCCCCACATCTGCAGGGACAGGGGCGGGCCCAGGCGGTTGCCATGGAAACAGAAGCTGGCGAAGGGGCGCCAAGGGAATGACAAAGGGCAGAGAGAGTCCCTTGGGACCGCACGTCCAGCCCTCTGAGGTCAGGCTGTGTGCAGGCTCCCAACCGCAGCGGGCGCACGGCGGCCTTCCGCGCCCGCGGGCCGGGCCCAGTGTGCGCCTCGCGGAAGCGCCCGGGGCTGCATCTCGGGGGCGTCTGCTCTTCGCAGGCTCAGTTCCTGGAGGGCATTTGTCCCAGGCCCCTGGGACCTGGCATGACTGGGCGTGTGTAGTCCTCTCTGTGGGGAATTCTGTCCAGGAGCTAAACCCGGGCGGAGCGCGCGCTCCGGGCGGCCCGCGGAGCGCCAAGGGCTCTTCCCGCCCTGGCGACGGGCGGCTCCTCGCAGCTGAGCCGTGCGGGGAGCGGAGGAGACGCGGTGCAGACCTGGGCGAGGCTGTTCCAGGCACAGGGAACAGCAGGGGCAAGGCAGAGCAGGCTTCGCTTCGCGGGAGAACCCGGAGGAGCGCGGAGGTGTCCGGAGCCCGGAGTGGGGGCGGGGGCGGGCCAGGCGCTGTCACCGCTCCATGGCCAATCTGAGAGACCAGGGCCTCCGGGGGGTTCGTGATGGGGCTTATGCTCTGGCGTCCCCTTCGTGACACCCTTAATAATTTTATCCTTGATCTTTTTTTGTTTTGGAAATGAATCCAGTGCGGCAGAAAAACATGTTGCTCTAGTGGCTTGGAGTCTCCCCGGCGCGGTCGCCCCCTCCCCCCAGCGCGCCTCCTGGGGCCGGCTGTGCGGCCTCCCTTTGGGGGGCCGGCCATCACCGTCTCCAGACAGCCAGGGCCTCCCTCTAGGGCCGGGCCAGACCCCAGGAACCCGCCTCCCTGGGGCGGCTCTGGGCCTCTCCCCGCCGCGCGGACCCGCGCCCCCTGGCCCCCGCGGGGACCGGCGTGGGACGGGAGTCCGGGCGGGCGGCCCCGGCGTGGGTCTGCGTCCTCCCGCCAGGGTCGCGGGTGCCCGAGGGAGCGCGGTGTTAAGTGAAACATGAAGCCACCGTGACAGGTCGTGGGGAGAACGGGCAACCAGGGAGAGCCTTCGCCTGCGTTTTGGACGCGGGGCTTTTAGGAACGAACGTGCAGCCACCGCTG